AGGGAGATGGATTCAGCTCCCAGAATTGCTAGCCAGACTCCTGGCTCCTGCGTGAAGACAGGAACACTCCTGTCACCCAGGATCCCCCTCAAACATTTCTTTGACCTCCCAAGTCAATTTTCCTTGGGCACTGGGGCCAGGATGGTCAGAGTCCCTACCCGGAAGAGGGTCATAATTGCAAGTTTCCGATTGCCTATTAAGGGTTGGTCATTATTTTAATAGAATTGTGGATCGGTTTGCAAAATGTTTGGCTTTTCGTAAGCTATCCAGGGTTGCAGAGTTGGGCAGACAGACATCTACTCAACAAACCAACAAACCAACAAACCAACAAACAAATAAATCTTTCTTCAATTTGGGAATCTCCAGACTGGTTGTACTTCAACTTCCATAAAGTTCACTGGATGAGGAGGAGGACTAGAAAATTCAGTTTTACTGTTTGCAAAAACGTGAGATCTACGTGCCTGAAACAAATTTGGAAAAGGAGGAGATCAACATTTTGTAGGATTTCAAAATTCAAATTGAGAGACCTGTAGCACATAATATGACATTACTGCTATAGAGAAGGAGGAGTTGTGGTTCACTGATTTAGCAATACCTGAGGATAAGCAAAAACAATATTCTGGAGAAAATAACAAAATATTGTGCCTTACAAATGGAGGTTGAAAAATTATGGAGGAAAAAAATAAATTACTAATTGATACCAACTGGAGCTCTTGAGGCAATGCCAAAAGGATTCACCAAATATTTAGAAAAGTTTAACCAACTGGAGGTGGCACCACTGATTTTGCAAAAAATGACCCTACTTGGAACAGCATACATTTCACAATGGCACCTCCATGACTTTTAGGTCCTTGGCTAAGATCTGAATCACTGGAGTCAATACCTAGGCAATTAGACTGTGCTATTCATTTGGATGAATTATTATTATCGGTCAAAGACTAAATGAATAGCAGATACAATGTTAGGAATTAGTCCAACACATCTGGAGGACACTAATTTGTAGAAGGTCCATGAAGAATGAAATCAGAAGGGCATGTTTGAATGAGCACAGACAACGTGGCAAAAAAAGCTTTCGTTCTCACTTTGCTTGCTTCTTGTTGGCCCCGAAGAGTTGGGACGGAGGGTTGGTTGAGGTCCAGACTGGGAGAACTGGGGAGCAATGGTTGGGACTTTTCCTCTCCCGGGCCGGATGCTCTGGAAGCCTGGGGAGCAGGGCGGGTTGGGTTTGCTGGCAAGGCCCAGAAGGAAGTCACTGCAAGAGACAAAGAAAGAAGGAAGGAATGAAAGCTTTGAACGGCTCCTTCAGCTGGTGGTGACTTGGAGGAAGACAGCAGAGCAGAAGCCCGACAGGTTTTGCACAACATCAGAGAGACGATTCTAGCGACACCACCTGCTATGGAGGAATGGTTGCTGAAACTGACAGCTCTTGCTGAGATGGATAAACTAACTTCTTGGATTAGAGAAGAGACACTACAGTATCTACATTTATTGGTGACTGGAAAGCTCTTATGGACTTTTTGCATAAAAATGAAAAAGAAAGTGAACTTGTGATTTATGGCTTTGATGATTAGACAGGATAAATTAAAGAAAGAAGAGTATTATGGTGTAACTTTAGAGAGGGAGGTTAAAATATAATTGTACTGATAACTGCTGTGAAGGAGATCGGAAGCCACTTCTTTGAATCTTTTTTCTTTCTTTTCTTTCTTCAATTTTTCTTTCTTTTCTTGCACTGTTTTCTCTTTGCTTTCTTTCCTTTTTTTCCTCCTTACTTTATATTAGTTGTATTAGTTTTTATCTTCTTTTTTAAAAGTTTCAATAAAAATTGTATTTTAAAAAAAGAGATGATTCTAGCCAGAATTCTGGGCCAAAAAGCTCCACATTCTGCATTTGCTGCACGTTTTGCCAATTTCTTACCTTAAACCAAACATAATGACAAAGAACATAGAAACACAGCCTCCCTTCCCAAAACTCAGTGATTTCTAATAGGTGTTTAACTGAAGCCCATGTTTTTTGGATGAATAGATTCATCTGAAATAAATGCTCACTCTTGCCTCTAACACCTTCGTTTCTCCCTCTGAGCATCTCAAGACAGGGGCACCTTCTCTTTCTTCTTCGGGACAGGTAATATGCCTCTGAGCATGGACAGAGTCCCTTTCCCTCAACACAACCTGCCTTCAGCTTGCCTTCAGATCTGTTTAAGCTGTTTTTCCTCCCACTTTCCTCCCACATTTTTAGGACAAATCCAGGATGGGTGCACACGGCTCTTCTAGCATGCTATAGTACGACACGGTTAAGCAGTTCCCCACCTGCCTTAATAGCCAGGCAGGGATATTGCAGAGATAATTAAAATGGGAGCTTGAGAGGGTCTCCAGGCAGTCAGCCATCAAAAGAAGCGATTGTCCTGGCGGAGAAGGATTAATGAGATTCTTTCCACCTGAAGGGAATGAGTGACCGGCAGCTTCGGTTTCCAGGGGGATGTCCTGAAAGTTACACTTCTCAGTTTCCTCAAATTGCTCCCTTTGTTTGAGGTTTTGGCTTCAGCAAATAGCCCCCGTTGTCAGCAAGGGCCGAGTGAGCTAATCGGGCAATCTTGTTTGCACAGACTTCGGAGTGCCCGTTTGCTCGCCTTCTTTTAACAGCCCCTCGGTATCTCTGCAGAAGATCTCGCCAACTGTTCCCATCCAGGAAGAAGGCTCTGGCCAAACGCGAGCCTTGCTGATGGACTCTCTGCTTTTCTCAAGCACTCTCTGAGCAAAGAGCTGGCAGCAGGATGCAGAATGCAGACCGCTTTCGACGGACGGCCTCCGCTCTCATCCGATCCAACGACCTCGCTCAGCCCCCTTGGCTCGTAACTTGCTGGAATCCCACTTGCGTGATTAGCTCCATCTGGATGGGGACTAAAAGACTCGTTTAGGTTGAAGTTGTGGGCCAGGCACGCCACACCCCAACCGAGTTGGCCTTCCTCAGCCTGGTCAGCCTAATTCCGTTTCTCCACAGTAGCTACTCTGTTCTCAGATGAAGCCCAAAAGATCCTCCGAGACGCAGGGCTGGTCCTGGATGCCAGTAGGGGGTACGGCAGCCTCCCCAAGGAGGTGAGTCGATGGGGAAGCCCAGGCAGAGGAGGACTCCAGGATTAGGAGAGAATAAGCTCACTCATTCCCCCTGCACGGTTTTCCTGAGTGTCTACAATGATGTGCCTGAACTGCAGGTGGAATGGGGTGGTTTTTTCTGTGGAAACATGCAGGAGGTAGGAGTTAAACCCAGCTGTTCCTTTCCCCAGTGCTAATACCATTCATGCCTTCAGAGCTGATAGGAGAAATTCCCTATCATATCAAGCTTGGTCCTTAAACAAAGTATTTTCCAACACTTTGCCCTGTTTCCTTCCTCAAATGTGCGTAATCACCGTTGTGATTACAAGAAACCTTTCACCCAAGCCAGGCTCCCACATTAAATTAGGCCAGTGTTTCTCAATCTTAGCGACTTTAAGATGTGTGGATCAACTTCCAGAATTCCCCAGCCAGCACAGGGAATCCTGGGAGTTGAAGTCCACGCATCTTAAAGTTGCTAAGGTTGAGAAACACTGCATGATGGGGACTATTTGATTTATGCCTGAGAGGGTTGTCTGAGTCCAGACAATTATAGAAACCTTATTTCAATAAAGCACAGCTGAGCCCAATTGTGCAAACCCAGCCACCGAGTTCAACTGTTGCTCCGTTTCCTGGAGGACTCTCTACTCTGAGTAGCAACGGCTACTCCAGTCATGTGACTACGGCGGTTGTGCTCAGCCTAGCTGCAAAGAATTCAAACGCCAAGCACCCTACTTTCTCCCTTTATCATAAAATTTTTTTGGAGCAATGCTGTTGTCCAGATTCTTACCCTGTGTCCTGATAGTGTTTGACATGCTATTAAGAGCTTATCCCTCCATCTCTCTGCTTGGAACAAACTGGGATTTACCAACTACTAAGTCCCTGGTGGACAAAGCAGTCTGGGGGAAAATACTTAACTAGCTTCTGTTAAGGAACTGAGAGATGTCAAGCAGCATTAAGCAGCAGCATTCTCCCACTCTGCTGTTTACACCATAATTTAAATATTTATCTACTAGTATTTGCTTTCTCTTCCCTATTTGCTGAACAGAAAGGTATGCAAGAAACCTGAGAAGAGAGAAAGTTGCATTCACTGATCAGTGACTGCAAACCACCACAAACTGTGGGAGAGTTCAAAGGGGCAGAAGAACAGTATGTTCCTGCCTGGTATAAGGGCAGGAAATCTATGCATCCTTCTAAAATTACACTAGGAAGTTCCCAGATACGGCAGACGCCTAAAGAACTAACATATACCTTTCTGGAGCAACTTTCCTTTTTAACCACAAGCCTAAACCAGATGTCCTTTCAAGCCAATAAATGAACAAAATGGAAACTCCAAACCCAAAGTATCGAAAAAGAGGAATGTAGTGAGTCCAGCTAGAGAAGAATAGCTTGCTCTGGCAAAACAGAGGATCTAAATGGTTTGGGCCAGAGGTCCAGCTGGCTACTTTGCAACTCTGAGTCAAGTCAGCTGCACTTCCAGCTGGTCTTTGGCCCCAGTTGTCAACTAGGAGCTTATTGTAGGGATGGTCAGGATGGGCAGTGATCAGAGTTGGCCTCCAGTGCATCCACAGGACCTTTTCTTCTTGTGCTCCTCTATAGCATCGGAGCGATTCAATTTCTCCTCCTCCAGAGGGAATGGGCTCTTTTAAGTTCCAGACTAAGTCCCTTCCTGCTACAGATTTTATAAGCTGAAGATAAAACAGGCTTGGTCAACGCTGAAAGCTTAGTTTCCCCTTTTAAAGACTTGCAAAACTTGGGATAGAGTTATAATCAGTGGGTTTTTTAAATGTGATATTTGTGTAATTTTTTTCCCGTTTTGTTTTTGCACGTGGTGAATTGTTCATTTTGACTGTCTGTCAGTCTGTTTGAAAGTGGATTAATAAAAACCATTAAAAACGAGAAGAGAAGATTTTAAGATTTAAAGAAGACTTTATAGCAAACACACAAGGACAGGATTGCAAGTTAAACTAGCTGTGTTCACCTAACATACTTCTCCTGGTTACCAAATTAACCATTTTCTGGGTTCACATAATTTTTAACCATAAACTGACCAAACAGGTTAGGTTCACCCAATATACAGTAGTAAGCTAACCAAGGTTAGCTTGAACCAAGCTCTTCATATTGCGCAAATGCAACTGCTGGGTCTTTTACAAACCTGGTTAAATGTTTAGTGTGAACACAGCCCAGGGGCCTCCACAAGGTGAGGCGAAAGGGGCGCTGATGCCTCATGCGTCATGATGTCATCGCACAAACGTCGTTCTGTGACTTGCGTGATATGATGCGTGCGACATTACAGCGGTTTCTATCACATCGAGAGTGACGCATTGCCTGCCAACCCAAGCTCATCACACAGGCCACCCCCGCCGTTTGCAACTGGAACAAGCAGTGATTTCCCTCACAGCTGAAATGGAAACAGGAAGGGTGACCCGGTGGTGACAGGAATTACTATCTTAAAAAAATGCCTCACTGATGCGGAAAAATAAAACTTTTGTTTTGCACATTTCAGTCTGTTCCAACTCCTGCAACTTTAATCCATGTTTTGCAACTCAAGATGTTGTAAACAAACACACTGGTCGTGCTGATTCATACAGATTAGCTGCTGAAATGTCAGTTCTCCTCCTGCCCGATGAAGAGCAACTCCGTTAGCCCGAAGGAAATGTCAGAAAAATAAAGTCATAATGGAAATGGCAAATCCCTTTGCTATGAGCGCCCGACTTTATTCGTTCACCTGACCATCTTCCCAGGGTTATTTTAAACAACTCCATCATGCCTCTGTGGTTAAAAACATGTCCACACATACCCACCTATCGTGCCATTCCCTTTTGGGGTGAGGACTTAAGGAAAGGGCAGAAAAAGAAGAACCCAAAGAAAGGAAAGGCATGAGGTGAGAAATGGAAACAGAGCTGAAGCAAGTTTACTCCCAAGTTGTTCCCCACACCTGTCGATACCTGTGTCCACCCCTGCTCCCGCCATGTCCATCCACCACTTCACACGTTGCGTTGCGTTCTTTAAACTTCTCATCTCATCAGCTCCAGCCAACGGTGAGTTTCTGGCTCTGCCAATGCACAGGTGGAGAGACGCCACCCTGCAGACACCCCGACTTCGCATTTACTCTATTAAATTTCACTCTGTTATTTTCAATCCATTCTCGGTCCCTAGGCTGAGCGGCCTGAACAGACTGAATTCATCTTTGGTTTCCAGAAAGCCTCTCCAATATATTCCTTTTCATAAAATGGTACAACCCACGAAAATTAATCAGTGCATTTATCCGCGGAGCACAGGGTCCTTAGAAAAGTGGCTTTATCAGTTCTGTAATTCGCTGATTTGGTGGCTAGATCCAGGACTTCCAAGATGGAGCCTTTTGCTTGCAATATCTGCACGAGGAGGCTGCCTTTAACTCCAGCTGCTTCCTAGGATTATCATGCATAAGCTAGGCGGCCATATACGTTTTCTAAATAAGAGCATGAATAAGTAAAATATTTTATAAAAAGGAGGAGTGGGCTCAAGAAGGAAAAAGCAAAGTAAGCTCCAGAACCATGGAATACCTGCCAAACAACATTCAAACAAGAGGCCCTGTTGATCTCTCGCCAACTATTTATTTATTTAACATAGTTTTTGTACACTGCAAGATTACAATTCTGGGCAGTGTACAAGACCATGCAAGCATTCATGCTCACTAGAAGAGAGCGGTTTTTCTCCCCACTAGCCCTCACTGGCCACTTGAAAAGCTTTCCAAAAGCTTCCCACAAGAAAGGGCCAGAGATAGCCCCAAGGATGGCTGTTGAGTCCACAGCGAGAGGGCCTCTCTTCTGCCCCACGACCCCTTCAGTTCACGGGGGATGGCACCTTAAGCAACGTCGCTTTTGATAATCTAACCAAATGGACATTCTGGGAGATCAAGTCCATACATCTTCAATTCGCTGAGGCTGAGAAGCACTGATGTTGGGGGGGACTTGTAAAATGCAGCCCGAAATAATTCGCTTATATTCTAGAAAGCAAGGTGCTACTTACAGACCTGTTTGGCATCCCCTTTACACTGTCCTGGGAAAGACCGGGGGACTGGAGAACCAGGACATCAGCAGCTGGCCGGACATCCCAATCAGTTCCAAGGTGCACTGAAGACCTCCCAGAAGCTTCTGACTCAACTGTCATTCGGAAAAATGGACATTTCAAAATGTGCAAGGAGCACTTTCCGTTTTTCTTGCAGACATATTCATGCCCACCCCTGAGGTTTAATCCTAACACTTATAAACTAAATGGAACAGAAGGAGGGAACTGAGAAATGTTGCTGAATCTTAACAGCCAGTAACCCCGGTTACTGTACACATCACATTATTTATATATTTATTTTTGTTTGTTCAATTTGGCATACAAGTTTAAATCATCATCGTCGTCGTCGTCGTCATCTCGCACACGCGACTCTAGGTGGCTCACATCTGTAGAGTTGTAGCTGTTGCATCTGCCCGGTTTTCTTTCCCCAGCCTCTTTCCCTCTCTTTCTTACTTCCCTCCTCTCCCTCCAGAATTGTTCTGCTGTCACAGTGCAGGTCCCTTGCCACTGCTGAGCTTAAGCGTGGAGCCCGTGACCCATGAGCCACAGCACCCCATTTGCAGCTCTCCAGGAACTCGGGATCTCAGTAGCAAAACTGAAGAGGAAGTTAGCCAAATTTCCACAGCATTATTCTTTTGCTTTTTAGTCAAAATTCAGGCTGGAGGGTGGGAACAGGAGCTTCTGGAATGCAACTGCTCATATCCCTTCTTTTAAAACCTCTCAAAACAGCCCGAAGGGTGATTCTGGAGGGTCTGGGGGAATTTTTAAAGTTGGGGATGGAAGTGGTTTGCCCTCTGTCCTCAGCCTTAAAAACATGGGAAGAATTGACCCAAAGCCCCTTCTAGCGTCATCCTCAGATCACCTCTTTTGGCCCTCCGAAACTGAATGTCTCTTCTTAACATTTTATTCCTGTCTGAAACCTTTCCAAATCCCCTTATTCAATATTTGGCTTGAAATGTGGTCTTTCTTAATGTATATGGAATTACAAGGCAACCCAGATCAGTTAAAACTGTACAATGTTAGCAAGACAATGATGGAGTTTTAAATATATCTAATTATTTTGATGCTTTCCAAATTAAAACAATGAACTCATGTTACCTGGAACTCAAGTAGATACAAGTCAAGTATGAGGCTCAAACTGTGGGAGCAGTGCCATCTTCCTCTGATATGAAGCAATTAATACCTACTATAATTCTAAAAGTATTGTGTAATTCTATATTTATTTATTTATTTGTTTGTTTATATTTCAAATTTAGATACCGCCCATCTCACAAAAAGTGACTCTGGGCAGATATATTATATATGGTGTAGCCCTCTGGAACATCATGGTGAGGTTAGTCCCATCTCTGTTGGCCTTCCGGAAAGCCTTGAAAACGTGGTTCTTCCATCAATCCTGGGGATCCCGTGGAGGCTTGCAAAGCGGTTGTAGGAGGCTAAATGATGGTTGTTCTCCCACTGTCTTGGGGTTCTTTTATGTTTTTATTCCTTAATGTCTTTATTTTTGTTGTTATTTATCTCTGATGTTTTTTTATATTGTGAGATGGTTTTAATTTTGAGTCCCTTTTTGGGAGATGGGCGGCTATATCAATTTGCTTAAATACATAAAAAAATAATTGAAATTCATGTTAGAAGTTTTGAAAGGGGGGGCAGGAAACAGATTCAGTCTCCTGATTCTTCTGCTTAGAATCATGGGGTCCTACAACTGGATAAGACCACTGAGGTCATCCAGTCCAGCCCCCTGCTGAGGCAGGAATTCAATTAAAGCTTCCCCAACATATGGCTGTCTAGCCTCTGCTTGACACATTAAATGCAGGGGAGCTGACTATCTCCCTGTCCAACTGCTCCTACTATAAGGCTTCTTTTCCTAACACTGGATCAGGATCCACTTCTTTAACTCAGAATTCATTCTGCCATGTCCTGGGTTCTGGAATGACGCAGAACAGACTGACAAGAAACCACTGGACCGACTATGGTAAACGTTTGCCATCAGGGCACATCTGATGCTACATCTATGCGTCAAACCCGAGCTCCTAAAAAATGGGCAGGACAGAGCCGGCTCTTCGGGGATTCAATCCCTGAGCTGCTGTCCCCAAACTCAAGCCTTACACGTCGAAGAGAAATGCAGCTCCGAAAGGCTGGGTCTCTTCCCGCTGCGTGTTGGAGGTCGGGAGTTTGGGCAACGTTGAGCATGTCTCTCTCTGCCACTGGAAGGCATGGCGTCATTTTCCGGCCTGGAGTAAACAAATGGCAGAGTGATGAATGCCTGCAGTATTAAGCTGTTATCACCACAAGGATTCTTACCTTCCTAATTTCCTGTAATCGAGAAGAGAACCATTTTGTATTACAGATTAGTGCCAAGGTCACAACAGCCTTGTTCTTTGCTGTTTTGCCTTTCCTTCCAGAAGTGGAGTCCAAAGTCATACGGACCTCCCTGACCTGGCTGAGGATGATGGAGTCCAATACATTTGGAAACTACCAGGCTGATTTTCCCCTTTTGTTTCAGAGCTGGCTTAGATCTTTCTCCTTAGTCTTCATGCGACAGGAGATCAAGGACTTCCTATGTCCAGTTTCATCGGAATCGGCTTAACCTCGTTCCTGAGTTAATTCATTTTCAGGGTTCGCATAATACCATGAACGATACCATAGTCAAAGGGGTTGTGATTATGCTAAACTAAAAACAAACCAATGAAGGATTAGATTAATGCAGCTGCTAGATTTTCAGCTCCAAGTTCCAATCCTGTGAACCCAGCCACCATGACGCAAGTCATTGGTCCACAAGCCTGGGATGACTTACTACAGGGGTAACATCTCTTCAAGGATCTGACAGGGAGAGAAGGGGTCTTTCTAGCACCAGGCCTGTGTGAAGCCTCAATGCTTCTCATTGACAAGGATTTGAATGAGGCCCGTCCTCCAAAGCCCCTTCACAAGGCAACACGATCCCTTGGCTTCTGAGACCATAGCAACCCAGTCATTTTGCCTTGTTCCGCAGCAGAACCCCTTCTTGGATTTCTCTTACCAAGCTTAAGCAGTGGGAGGAGACCAAGTTGGAAACAATGTGGGATCGCTTGCACTGCGCACCAAAGGCAGACAACATATTCTGCACAGCTTTCCAGATTGGGTGGCTCCAGAGAAGGTGGCAGGTGGTCAGGAGGTCAGGATGGAGCCATCTCAAAGTGCACCAAAAGATTTGCACGTGGGTGGCTTGGGTGTGTGCTGCAGGCAATCCTAAAAATTGCCCATCATGAAGGATTCCAACCAGCACTGGGGGAGAAGGCTGAGAGGAGCCAATATGGATTCAAGGCATCCAAATTGCATTGCAAACTTGATAGTTCTCTGTTTCGTTGCTGCAAATCAGAGGCATGACAAGTAGGGTTGCTTAGCCCTCAGAAGGCTAAGGTTGGGGAGAACAGTCTTCTAAGTCCTTCAGCCAAAGCCACTGAGTGCTTTAAAGACTAATGTCACTATTCAAGATGAGTCCTAGTTAACAAGCAATCAGTACCACAATTTTAGGACTCCTGCTCTAGGAACCTATTTAATTGCCCCACTTAGCAATCAGCTGCATTCTACACCAGTTGCATTATGCAGACCAACTTTAGGGGTAGTTCCACATGGCAGGCAATCCAACTGTGAGGCTATGGGTTCATGGGCCTCAGTTATCCCCATCCAGACAAGGTTGAAGCTGGCACACAACCCGCATACTGGACTCAAGGAGAGCCTCCACGTCACACTTCCCTCTTTTTGAAGGAAAAGCTCCTTCATCTAGAAGGTCCCACCATGCTACTTCCCAGAACAAAGAGCCACTTTCCACAATGTGCCCACCTTATCTGGCTTTAGTTTCTTGGCCCATCTTCAATCCATTAGTCTCTAAGCAATTGGACACCCTTTCCTGATTCAGAGGAAAACTAAAGATGTGGATCATCTGCACTGCTTGCCATCACATACCAAATCTTGGGATTACCACTCCCTGTGGCTCCGTGTAGATCAGTGTTGTCCAAACTTGGCCACTTTAAGATGGGTGGACTTCAACTCCCAGAAGTCCCCAGCCAGCCATGGATGAATTCTGGGAGTTGAAGTCCACTCATCTTAAAGTGGCCAAGTTTGGACAACACTGA